CCAATATCAAGGAAGAGCTGAAAATCTCACTTCTCATAACATTAATTTCAAGTGGCTCTTGCTAGGAGACAAGTCTCCTAAACCTGCCAAACAAAATATTTGAAATTCTTGACCACATGAAACATTTTCCCAATTTCCTTCTTTACTGACTGAGATAATTTTTGTGTAGCAACAGAATAGAGCCACAGACACTATGGCATCATGCCACATGCTAAAAGAATGCCCATGGTCTCTCACAACACTTGAGCAAAACACCTGTAGGATTTGGGGATGTAAAACCTCCAAAAGCAACACATTTCATCGGAGGGGAAAAAACTTAGATTCTGGAAGGTGCAAGCTGAGCAATACCCACCTCAGATGAAACTGGAATCAGTTTTTGAATCCAGATTCCTTAAATGTAGCTCAGTTAAGCATGAATTGTGCAGATACTCAGACTGCAGACTCAGAGGAAGAGCCAAGCACGGTGGTGATTTGTACCATTTTCACATCACGTCTCCATAGATTAGCAGGGAGCCAGTAAAAATGATCTTTACGAAGAGAAAAGTAACTTTCACTTGATTGAAATGTTAATGACCTCCTGAGAGTTCTTCAGTTTATTTTCTTCTTGCCCTGAGTTTTTATCACGCAAAAATGTTCAGTAATCTAGCATGTTTCAAATATTTGGCCTATATATTTCCATATTTCTGCTAGAAAAGATGCAACATAAACAGAACGTAAATCAAAAAGAGCCCTTCTACGCAATTTAATACCATTTTCTTACAGAAATACAATTATTATATCTCACAAAGGACGAAAAAAATATTTTAAACGGACTGTAAAGAATTCAAGGCATCTCTCAGTGCCTCAGATTCACTTCTGGCTCTGTAATTCCCTAGTCTGACTCCTAAGAACATGCTGGATTCCAACATCCTGTTGAGTCCTCAGGTCCACTTGATATTAATCCCTTACAATGGTGTCACAACTCTTAACCTCCACTTAGAGAGGTTTTGCACCTACAATTCAAATTTTGCTCAGTAGAATTGAAAATTTCTCAGCAGGGCTAAAAGCCCTATCAAAGCCAGAAAAGGAACTTTTCTCTTGTGTGTGTGTGTCAGGGTGTGGTTCACACAAATGCTAATCTTAGGAAGAAGAAAAGCTCATTAAAGAATGCTGTGGCAAGGAACATGCTACAAAACTGTATTTCAGGTTTCTCGTGACAGATGGGAAGGTTCTGATGCTGAGCTATCAGGTCAGAAATCAAGATCTGAGATGGGTTTTAAGCTCAGCCAGACTCCTTTAGGATTTTTTGGCAGCTAGTATTTTTCTTATGTCTTTTTTTTCTGCCACACTCTCCCTCTCTGTCTCCCGTTGAGAAAAACAGACTTGATACTTCCTTTTTGTGTTTCCAAATTGTTTTTCTTTTAGAAGTGCTTTATAAAGAGGGTAGTTTCTGGTTAGCACATCTCCTCACATGTTTCACCAAGTGTATTTTCGTTACGTGAGCTATAAAACTGTGGGCCAAACTCCGTCTTTTAAGAGAGTCCTTGACACCAGAGCTTGTTAACTGATCCACTGAGGAATAAGAAGTGGAATGTTACCTAAAGCAGCCTTGCTGAAACTACAAAACACCTCCCAGTTGGATGATGATACAGGTGACTGTTGTTCCACATGTAAAACTGTTACATGCTACAGAAACAGGAAAAAATGTGAAGTCACATCCCTAAAGAGGAATGTATGGAAAACCGGGTACTTCCCTCCTCTGCTTACTGAAAGAGAAACTAAAACTTTTAAGTTACTTCAACATGAGATGAAGTTTTGTTCCAGTTCTTTTGAAAACCTTGAGAGGATGAGTTGTAACTTATCTTTATATGATATTGCCAAAGTGAAAACTTCTAGCTTTTCTTTAGCATCAAACTGTTTACCAAGTTTAATCTGAGCTCACATAGTATTTAATTGCTCCAAGAGCTCAAATTTTAGGAGGCAAATCTACCATTTTTATGGTAGATTTCTGTGATGGATTTCTACCATTCCATTTCCACATCAGCAGTAGATGCATTGGCCTAAAACTGAGTCAGCTGCTCTGTTAGTAATTCTGAAGCAAAACTAATCAATCATTGGGACACAGGACCAAGAAAAACTACACACTAATGTCTCGCTATTTTTCTCCAAGATAGAGTATTTATATTCAAATATAAATCACAAGTTTGATGAAGGAATTACAACATAAGATGTTATGGCCTGAGTTACACTGGAGATAAAATACAATTATACTGCTTCATTTGATGTTTCCCTCTCAAAGCTTCTGTTAACTCAGTCTTTCATGAAAGACAATGACATGCCAATACAAATTAAGAATATCCGTGTCGGGGAAATACTGTAGAAGATAAGAAAGCCACTGTTTTCTTTTCACTAGCTAGTGGAAGGCAAGCACTAGAAAGTATGATTTTTAAACTACATGGCAACCTGTTGAAAAACATGAAAACCCTTTGGCAGGTATGAACGAATACATTACCTTTCTGCAGCACAATAGCACTGGAGACACACACCAAGGATTTCCAAGTAAATGTCATGCTAAGGGATTTTAAATTTCAAAATAAAAAAAATATAGTAATTCAGGGAGATAAATTCATTCCAGTAGATTCAAAACAACAATGCATTCAGAAGGCCCATGGTACAGTGCTTATTTATTTACTGCTGTGACTTCAGAACATAGAGCATCTCTGACGATGTCAGTAGCCAACAGCGTCAGCAGAAGTGTTTACAGCCACTCAGGATGCTTAGGAGGGAAATTAAGTTGCTCTTTACCTCTGGCAGAGTACTGCAAACATTATTCTTGAATACCTCTTCAGCAAGCAACATTCAAACTTGGTGGTCAGATTTAGAACAGAAAGCATCTCTGCGTCTCAGTGCGAGTGAGTGCCACAAACTGCAAGGCCAGATCTGTAATGACTGCCATTAAATCCACCCTGCCATTTACCTTTCCACAGCATTTTCTCTGTTATTTAGGGCAATCTACCATAAAACCTAGTCATTAAAAAAGCTGTGTTTAGTGTTAGGACAAGGATGTCCCATGATGTGTTTCAAAGTCTAAGCATCCGCACATTTAAGATATTTATTGAAAAGTTTATTCAAGATCTGTGGGGCTGTTCCCTTACACCCTGGTGTCAGCGAAAGGCAGCACTATCTCAGCTAGTTAATTTGCTGGTTAGGACTTTGAGCTGAAGGATTTTGTTTTTACAGGAGTTAAAACATTTCATTTAACCTTTTGGTGTTTAACTCTGGGGTTCGAGTTCTTCTCCTGGGGAAGGAATTTAACTGATGATATGCTACTTATTAGTATGTGTTGAAAAGATGCTAGCGGGAAGGCCAAGATAATTTCACAAATCAGTGCCTGATACGTGTGAGCACTGTATTTCCTGAGGTTTTACGGTTGTAGAGCGGGAAAAGCTATTTATGACGCTGTCCAGGAGGTGGCAGGAGAAGTTAACCAAAGCTTCAGTGGTCCCTTCGTGTCAAGCTACAAGGTAGGAACAGGAACTGCCCCCCCACTAATTCACAGGTCCATTAAGAGCTGGAGAGGACAAGAGTCACCACAAGGAAAGGTGGTGAAGCCTAGATCACTCACGGGTCACTGAAAAATCAAAAAGTCTCTCTCTGAATTTCTTGACTGTAACGTCTGTGTGTGTGCATTTCATGCATTTATAGACACAACCCATTTTTTAAGGAAATCCGATTTGCAACAGCATTCCAGCACTGTAATTAATACCTGGAGAACAATTTCATTTTTATTCCAATTTCATTTCAGCTTCATTCTACAGAAAGTAATTTTGCAACATTCAGTTTACCAGAAAGCCAACAATTTGAAGAAATCCAGTGGCAAAAAAGAAGAGAATGAGAAGGAAAAAAAAAAAAACAAAACAAAACAGAGACCCAACTGAAAACCATCCATCACTGATGTTCACACTTTGTAGCTGGAACACTGGAATACCAAGTATTTTTATTGAGAAACCTCATTAGTACTTTCATATTTAGCCATATTGCAACAACAACAAGAAAGCCCAGGCCACAACACTAGAGTTTGTACAGAAAAAGTCAGTCCCTAATTTGAGTTAAAAATAAAAAGAATGAGTAATGCAAAAATCAGCCTCTGCCCATATTTCCTAGAATTTGTGCTTTGTTCATCCTCTTTTAATTGTTTCAAACTCTGTTTGTCACTCAGTACATTTTCCCATTCTTTCACAACCACTGTGCACAGGAAAAAGGATCAGTCTCTAAGGAATTATGTATTGGTTAGGCAGCAGCCATTAATTAAAATCAAAGTTTTCTGGCTTTGTAGCAATTATTAAATGGTATTCACTTCGTTTTTCCTCAGTAGAACAAACAATAAATTTAGAGAAATTATTCATATCTAGCCAAAATACCAGCCTTGAGAAAAAAAAAGACACAGAATAATGTCTTTCATAAATTAGTAATTCATGCAGATGGACAGCCTGGGATGAGAATGCCTAATACTATTACTTACTCAGATGTTTAAGTGATAATTTTTTGTTTCTAGGAGCACAACTACTGCAGTATGAAAGTTACAGCTGAAGAGGCACGAAGCAAACAAGTTCTCTTTTGTTATATGCAGCACAGAAAATGCAGTGAGTAGTTTAGGAACATAAAAACATTAGCAAGTATCAATGTTCTACCAGAGCAGATCAAACCATGCCACAGGCAGCCTGTGACAGAGCTTTACTGCTGATTCATGTGTGCTCTGGTAGCAGAAAACTTCTTAGATGATGGTGTCTTAGTAATTAGGGACTTCCACCCGAGTTAACCAGTGGAGAATTAGTCTGCAGTATGTTTTCTCAAACTTTCCCCTCATATTTTCATCTTGGGGGGGGGGAGGGCAAATTAAAATAAAATAAAGGCATTTTCTGCAGAAACATGAAGTTTTGTGGGGAAGATATCAGGACTTTTCTGGATTATCTGGGTTGTCTCTAGAGTAGTTTATGGAACTCTCCAAATCACCCACTCACCTGTTAAATGAGCAGTCACATCTGTCATTGCAGAATGGCTAAAAGATGGAATGCAATGTTAGAGACCACACCCATATATGTGACTGCAGGGTCAGTTTTCTCCATAAAGCAACAGAAAGCTGGCAGGCAAAATACATCTTGAAAACATCAAGGCAGCAGCGGTCACAACAGCCCTGAAATCAGATTTTGTGTCATTCAATATTGACAATTTGTACTGGGACGTAGGAGAAAAGACCTGCAGGGTCAGGGTCATCATCTGTGCACACAAGGGCGGGGGCTCTGGGTGTGACAAGGTCATGAAGGCAGGAGACACAGCTCTAACCAAAGCAGAGCACCCAGACATCTTCCCCATTCCTCAGCTCTGCCTCACAGCCAGAGAGGAAACTCAGTGCTGAGCACACGTGAGAGGAAAAAAAAAAAAACGAGGTAGGAAAGGCAGAGATGGTGGCAAGTCTGACATGCAGAGCACAAGGTGTAACTTCCCTTCGCTAGCTCACCCCCACCTTTGGATCATGGGATACTTCCCAGCATTTTATTGCATCATTTGTACTTTGCTTCTAATCACATGGATTTACCGAGGATCCTTAGGAAGGTAAGAGCTCAGCCTCATGCTTTGGTCTCCCAAGGACACTGGTAGGCTAAATTCAGTTCCAAAGGGAAGGGAGGTCATGAAGTATTCAATTTATTTTTTTTTTTTTTCAAAAACAGAACGAAAGCATTGCCCTTGTAAGATTTTCTTCACTTGTATCAGAATTGAGTACTAAAGGGTAAACTGCTTTGATTTACCATTAACTTTAAAAGCATCCAATTTTAGTACTCCACCACAGCAGAGAGGCTATAAATTAGTCTGTGTTCAGCAGAGGAGTGATGGCCTCATCTGAAGTTCTCCCAGCTCCTGTGTTCATTAGAGACCTCTCCTTGGATGGGAACAGAGCAAACTCTATCAACCTCAGCTAATTTCCCTCTGAGACAGAGTAACAAGCTGTGCAACTACAAGAGAAGATAACTTTGTATCTGCATGTTAGGAAGAAGTGGTGGCGTCCTGAGTCACGTTCCTATTAGGAATAGGAACTGAGTGGCAGGTCTGAAATGGTATATTAAAAAAAAAAAATCACACCAAAAAACCCAAAATCACTTAAAATAGTTATCAGTGATTTGTTTTCTAAATGGAAGGGAAAGGAGCAGGGTTGTGGAGGGCACTGTTTTGCATCTGGTACTGTTAGAAATTTTCTGTAGCAACCTGAAGGAGGTGGGACAGTGTCCTTACTTTGGAAACCAACCACCCTACCAAGGGCTTCAAATGCTAAAAGATGCAAGAGAAACTAAGAAATAGCTGGGAGGGGAAGAAGCTTCAAAATACAGCACAAAACTTCATAATTCCTCCAAATGACAAGCACAGGGCACTCGTGCTTGGGCAAGGATGGGCAAGTGCACAAAACAGGATGGGAAAGTGGTCAGAAAACAACTTTACTGAAGATGACCTGGGATTAGAGCAGATTACCTAATAAAACAAAACAAGATAACTCCCAAACCAAAACAAACAAACTCTGGGATATAGAAATAGAAAGTTTAATAGTCTCATACAGTAATTCTTCTGTTTTATTCTGAACTGATAAAGCCTGTGCTGGAATATGTAGTTTTAGCATCTCATTTAAAAAACAGTGGAGGTATCTTAAAGAAGAGGTTTGACAATTTTAACAGGCATAGAAAAAATTAATTATGAAGAACAATTGTCACCTTTCCTTACTTCTCCTCCTATGAACGGTTCATTAAGTGTATTAAGCTTCCAGATACAGAAGGTTTTAGGAATGTTATTTTGCCACACTGAGGCATTCTGGGAACAAAGAACAAGAAAAATGTGAATCCCTTATGCTGGCTCAGGAACATGTTAGACATCTAAGATAATATAAGTAAGGGTCTATTGCAAACTTCCCCCATGAGATGGAGATGAACTTCAGAGGCAATAGTTAAAATTCTGTTATTAAAAGACATTAGCTTCCTCTATGAAGAATGGAGAGCAAATGTAAGTAATAAAATGATCAGAAGCACTTGAATGTAATAGAAAGTTAGCTTTGGGCATTCACTAAGGAAACCATGTTTTATGTTAAGATAATGCAGGCTTGGATATAATTTTGAAAGGTAAGCATAGCATGGACCTTAGAGAAAAACTGATCATAAAAATGGTTCTGTTTTAAGATTATAACACAAGAGATTGTAGAATCAAGCTTATGATTCCAAAAAGGCAAATAGAGAAAGTCAGGGATTTCACCTGGACTGAAAACTCCGACAGCTAAATGGGAACTTAACCAAGTGCACCCTGAGGCTGGAGATCAGTGGTGTTTCCCCATCTTCACATAAACTTAATACAGGACTAAACATGCTTACCTCCTAAAAGTGGAAAAGATTAAGATAGAAGAAATAAGGATAGAGCTACAAAGATCAGCAAAGGGACTAATCAACAGGGAGAGCTCGAAGTGTGGGCACAACCAGGGATTGCTAGAAGTGGAGTCAGGAGCAAATTCATAGAAATAACACGTGGTTCAGTAGGCATAAACTGGGGAAAAACGTAGAAGAATAGAAGTTAGTTTATCATGTAGTAGAGGAGTAAGTTTAAGATAAAAATTAACACACTCATATTCTAAGGCTACATTAACATTCTGCCTCCATTTTCAATAAAGTAATTTTGAATGCAGGTAAAGTAGTTAGCAAGATGAGGAGTCATTACATATAATAGAGAAGCATATTTCAAAATTTACCCCTAATACAGTCACATCAGAAGAGCTGAGTCCTTTCTTCCCCAAAATGCTGACAGATTTTATCCTTGAAATACAGGTCCTGTGAGAAGGGTTTTAGAGGTGGGGTGTTTTTTTTTGCTTTAAAAGGTGTCAAACTAAGGCAGCTGAAGATTAACAAAGACCACAATAATACCTGTACATTAAAGGGACAGTAATATTCAAGAGCTATGAAAAAGTCTTGGGGGAGATAAATAGAAACAGATATAAACAAGAAAAAGGGAGAAAATGCAGCCTGCATTCACTAAGGGTATCTTCAATAAGCAACTTCTATTTTATTAAGACAGCAGTTTTACCAGCAAAGGAGTTCTTTCTATCCAAAATGTTCTTAGCCCATTTGATCTGGTCTAACATGCACAACATGTATAAAAGATACATTTTCCCTGCGTTTTATTAAAAGAAAAAAATTGTAGATCAGGTTAAGATCTGGCTAAGGGAAAAACAGTATTACAATTGACTGACAGGGAAACTGTTGGCATGGAGGTAAGTACAGGAGTTTAACTCCACAAACATGGGTACTAAGTATTTAATTAGAGGTGGTGGCACAAAAATGCAAGTTTATCAAAGTGTAAGAATGAAATGGTTGTACATTGGCAAATGCAAAATGGTCTGAGGAAACTTGAGGAGTGATGTAAGTGAAATGAAACAGAATATGAAATCAAAGATCATTCATTTAGCATTTGATCAGAATATTTCCTACAAATCCACGCTCGTAAATCAAAATAGGCCAAGAGGGAGGAAACCTTAAAGAATGATGGATCCACCAGTGATGCATCACTGTAAAAGGACAAATATGACATATCAGGCTACATTTTCCACAGAAATAGGAAAGCACAAAACACTGTTAAGCTCTTCACTACAGATATAAACTACCTGAACCACGAGAGCAAAACATGGCTGCAAACCTTTTGGACCACTGGCACTATAATCAGAAAAACTGTAGAACAGAGTGGTTCACTAGGCCTACTAAGATGAAATTGTTGCTGTCTATCCTGACGAAGTAAAACCACCAGGGAATTAGGAAATTCATTTAACCTAAGGAACAACATCACCCAATTAGTTTCAGTAGACCCTTAATTAATTTTGACCAGAAATTTTAAAATGTTCAAAACACAAGGAAAGTGATATTCTGGTGCAGGTATTTATCAAAAGCATCCAGGACAGGAAATCACAGTAGTATAGTTCAGAAAAGAGATAAATGAATTCTCATGGCAGAAAAAAAAATAGATCTCTTTATCTAAGTACTCTTTTAGGGTACATTATTGGAATAAGAAGCTGTGCACTTTTGTACTTAGAGCAGCCAGCATAGTTGTGAAAAGTTCTCTGAGTGACTCCAAGTTTTATAGGTTAATTTTGATTTGGGAGTTGGGTCAATATTCTGTTCAGAGTTGTTTTTCTTCTCTTCTCCATCTTAAATATGATTCACTTATTGCTAACATGTGCTGTGTCTGACTAGCAGGAGGAAACATTTCTGCCTGTGAAGCACAGGATAAAAAAAAAATACAGCTGGCTTGTGTATACACTTGAAAAAAAATGCTCTTGCTGTTTTTACTCCTTTAGAAGTGTTGGGCAGCTTGTACTATTAATGCCATATCATTCTTTGAAGGCAGATTCTGATATCTGTGCCAGGAGAAGAAATAACTTTCATCTTTTAAAAGAATTAGTTGCTGGTGTAAGAGGTCATTACAACATTTTCCTGTGAATCATGAGCTGGATAATAAAGCCAATAGTCTAACAAGACTTCGCATCCCACTATTGCCCTGGGACTCTGAAGAATGCACATTGAAAAACTCAAATGCAAATTATCTGTGACTGCACTCCCCACAACTGCTATTGTTAAAAGCAAACAGTCAGTAAAATTCCAGAGACAGATAGAAATGCTTATCAGATTAATGAGAGTGACGCACAAAAAAAGAAATCGACTGGATAGCACACTTTTTTCAATCATATTTTTATATAACTGGATGTGATCAAAAATATTTATATCCCTTTACCTTCATAGCCTGCGAAGTCACAGTGGAACTGTCTCGGGCCCTAGAAGTTGTGTGCTAGAAGGTTTATCTATTCATGCAAGCATGCAACTACACAATGTCATGTTCACTATACAGCCTGCCCTCCAGACAAAAATTCTGAGATATCACCACATGACTCTAATGATAGACCCCAGCAGAAGACAAAGTCCAGTCCAGGGCTGAAGCTGTGGTAAAATGTATTTGTGAGGCACAAGGTCAATTGATAATTATTGCACATTTGGGAGGTGGCATAACTAAGATAATTGAGAAGTCATCAAAATAATAAGTACCAAAAATAATAAGTATCAAACCTGATTTTTTTGAAAAAGTAAATGTACAAACAACACTCAGCTCCTCAAACATCCATGTTTTCTTTGTGTTCTTAACATACAGATATAGATACTGGTTGAAGTCAGCAATGTTGATTAAACACAGGAACAGG